TTTTTAATGAAGCCTCCTCATTGGCTGGGAAAAAGATGTGATTTAAAGCAAAAATGGTGCGATGCGTGAATAAATCGTATCAACTAGAGCCAATCAGATTACAGGGACCACCAGTGATTTCAAAATGAGTGTAATAAACCCTTTTTATTTTTCAACCATGATATGAAGCACTTGGGAAATTTGGAAGGCACTCAATAAGCTTGAGATGCTCTCGGCTACGCCTCGAGCAACTCTTACGCATCTTTCGTGATCTCCAAACTTCCCGCGTGCTTCATATCTCCCTGTACGCATGCTAACGTATGAACCAATTGTTAAACGTGACTGGTATGTTTTTTAAAATATTTCACCGCAATTTCTCAAAGTATTGTCAATGCAAGTTTTAAGATTTAGTAATGCGTATTAAGGGATTTCAAAGTTTTATCAAAGAAACATGATTGCGGTTTTGGAGATGTTATTTTGCTTCTTAATCGGCCCTGACCACTAAATTTCTTTGAAGCAACCAGTCATTTGAAAAAATATTACGCAATCAAATAAGGGTAAGTCGCTAAAAAAAACCGTGGTGCTGCGTCGGTGGGGGAGTGTAACGATGTTATCTATCTCGGCAACTAATGGTTTAAGCCGTAATTGTTTTTGTAAAGGAAATCAAGTGCTTTCGCCACTATTTTCTCTATCCAAAAACTGTATGCATAATAAAGAATGAGGAAATTTTGTCCAGCTCTCCAAATGCAGGAGTCAGTAGAGTCCCTTGAACGATATTTTGTCAACAGAAAATCAGAACACTTTCATTTATGTTATTTTGTTAAGTTTCTTCTTTGTATTGTCTTATTCAGGAGACTGGCAGCGTTCATTTGGTAATTATCTACTTTAAAAGATCCCCATGAGTGACTTTTTTGTCCCTGATTGCAGACCGGAAAGTCATTTGTGAATATTTCTGTAGAGCTGTTTTTGAGCGGGGAAGAAAAAATAGGGCATAGTGTCATTTGTTTTCAACAATGTGCATCACTTCGGAGAAGTATTCAATCTTTCAGTCCATTTGAACCTCAGGAGTTACATTTCCGCGCATAATTAATTGAGCTGTGTTATGGTGTTCTGTTAATCAACGTTTTACCTTCATCGCTTAACTCGACCGACAAAATGCAATGCCGTTAAGTAATTAGATTCCTTAAGGTGACTTATTGTGAAGAAGCCTAAACTTACGTATGAACCTCCATCACTTTTAATCCTTTGTTGGTTTAGTCGCGCCCAAACTGTACACTGTGCACACCAACGCGTAGTGGATTTGCAAATCAAGTGCTTCCCTTGAAGTTTGGTCTGAAAAGGATTATGGATATTTACAACCTGGGTCTAAAAATGGTATTTTCTTTTCTGAAATAAGGCTAAGATTTGGAGAGCTGGTCGCGCACCCTTGTCAAAAGTTACAATGAAAGCACACCCCGAGACATCTCTCTCGCGTTTTTGATTTTTTAATCGTTACACGAGCTCAAAATGTTTCTTTCCGTTCTTTTGTTTGAAAGATATTGAGAATGATCCCCATTAAACTGGTTAGGTGGAAAATCAAAAATATTGACAAACGAACGTGGAAGAAGTGGACCGTGATGCGGTATTGAAATGCAGAAAATAATCGAAACGAGTGATATTTATAGAACATTCTGGGTTGTTCGTAATGACTATTTTCGCTTCAAGGATTGTTTATCGTTCGTATAAAACTGTTTCAAAAATACTTCACCATGAAACGCGTAAAGGTGTTGTAAGAATGCAGAATGGTATTTCAATAACAGCAGTTTGCAGATGTTTGGAGGAACGGAGGTACTGGAGTAGGTGTCTTCATTGTTTTTCTTTGATGGTCCGTTGACCAGAACTACTACTAATATTTGTGACTGTTACGTTTCAAAATTCCCTAAAGTATTGTCATTCACATTTCAAGAAAAGGTTACGGAATTTTAAGGTTCTGTCAAAGAAAATTGAATTTCCATATTTGATAGGCCCCAACCACCACAATTCTATTTTAGAAACTGGTGAACATTACAGAACTTCAATACACTTTCCCTGATGTTATCTCGATTTCATCTTTCCAATAAAAAAATTAATTCTTCTTTAGAGAGACTTGCAGTCTTCTCCTGGAAATGTTCTCATTACGATTGGCTTTGCCGAATCGCAAACCGTCTAAATAATTTCCTTTACTTTTTGAAATTACGTTACAGCGATGTGTTGACGTTTTCTTTCATCGTAAGTGTTTGATTTGACTAAAACGGCGCCAATGTCTTGAACATATAGGATTCGCTGACTACAGAAGAGAGTAAATTATCTCTCCCCAACACGCTAATAAAAATATTAGCTTTATAGAAATTTCCTAATTTGTTGAACGTATTTTTTTAGTACTCTAGAGATCTCGTTTGGTATGTTTACCACAACTGTTTACCACGTCCTGGTTGCCGTCGTCGTTTGCATTCTGATAACAGGACTTCGTGTCGTCCAATTCTGTCCGTAAACATATACGAGTGATTTAAAACAAATTCACATTCATTCAAAGTAAACTCAATTAGTAGCTATTCTGACCCTGGTACAATCGCATGTCTCACACTTAACTGTTCTTTAATATCCTTTTAAATAGGTGCAGCATGTTTGAACCAATGAGGGGCAACCACGAAATTAAAAAATATATGCACTTATGTTCACTTTAAACTCTCGATCTATCGCGTTTCAAACAAAGTTCACTTGCCTTACGCTTAACAGCAGTACTGATAAGCTTTTGGACATGTCAGCACAGTATCTATATAAATCAAAGAATAAATGACCATAAAAAAACACTCTGAGGAAAGCACACACAAAAAAAGTTTACTCGTGTTATACTTAATGCAGTATATTAATTGATTCTCAAAACACGTATTGTCTGCTGCTCAACGATTAAATGAAAAAGATAAGAAATTTCGAAACACACTTATGTCCACAGATAAGAAATTTCAAAACACACTTATATCTACTCAGAGTAAACTTACGCACTCACAGTTCTCATACTGAGGTTCGTTTGTGTCACTGTTTTAAACACTCTTAAACAGGCGCCGATTCAGCCCAACTCAGGATGACGGTTAATGCATAAAATACTTTAATGTTTCCTCAGGTGGTGTTTTACCGTATGTGATCGCAGTGTCACAACTGAAGAGGTTCTTCTTCTTTCCAAAGCCCATTTGAAACTGCCAAACGTACAGCTTGGTGTTCGGTGGAATTTTCAGCTCAACGTTTTCGTCTTCTTTAGTGATGTCACTCCACTTGAACTGCTCTGTGTTGACCATCTTTCCACCAAACGTCTCTTTGAGGCTATACTGAACTTTACAGAGAGCCTCAATCAATTCTGAAATTTGGGCTTTGATTCCTACTTCTTCGCTTATTCCCATCTCGATGGACCATTCGAACTCTATGGAGGACATTGTGCTCCTGTCAAATCCAACGGTTTTCTTGATGGTTTTTTCCAATTCAATGGCGGTGTCGGAGTCATTTTGAAGACATTTTACATCTTTCCAATACCCGAACACTTTTCCATGGGTGTGTGCTATACCACCAGGGATAAACTTGAGCACTGACTCGTGAACGCTGAAGTCACCGCAATCTTTGTTCAAGTTCATATTGGTGCTTCTGTGATAGGTGACACCCCATTTTCCAGCCTGCTTCAGACAGTACACATAATCATTGGTACCCCAGAAATAGATGCCATCTTGGAACACTTGATGGATCTTATATTCAACTGCGTCTTCATCTTTGTTCATGTTACTCACTCGTCTGTAGGTACCTCTGTTGGCAAATACGATGTACCAATTACCAAAGGCAGAGTAGTAGCCGCTTCCTCCGCGACAGTTGCGATGAAGAGAGTAAACCACAGCGTCCTCGTCTTTACTCAGGTCGGTAACTCTGCGATATTCATCTCCTTTAATGATGTAAAAAAAAGAGTCAGTGGCCAAGTAGTGATCGCCCCATCTACAGGCCTCACTTAGATGGTGAATCTTGATATCTTGACCAGCGTGAATATCTTTGCACCTCATGTAGACACCCACATCAGATCGGATAATATAGAAGCTGTGTTTAGTACCACAAAAGTCTATTCCTCTAGCCTCAGATGCACTCTTCGGCACGATCTCCGGATAATCTGAAGCGGCGGACATATCCTTCAGTAGTTGCAGCTGAAACTTTCGTTATGATAACGTTTCTTCTTGAGTATCTGCTATGAAGGAAAATAAAAGCAAAGAGACCGAGCATTAATGGACGTTGACTTCGATTCTGGCTTGATCTTTAGTGGAAGAAATAAGCTTTCTTCTTGAGTATCTGCAAAGAAGGCAATCCAAAGGGAAAATAACGGGTTCCTACTTACGTGGAAGGAAACAATTAAAATGGTGCAAGACCCTCTCTTTAGTAGAGACTGACTGACATATGACCTTTTCATTTTTCCAGCACTGGGCTGTTTTACTCTCGCTCGGAATCACCACATTCAAAAAACCATTTGGTTTGCGATACTCTTTATCATTCCTCAATATCTTTTACAAAGATTCGTCGACATAAAACATGCATCAATTGCCGTGTTAAAAAGATGACTACTTGACAATACATCGCTGACGTGAAACAATCGCCTTTGTCATGATGATATCACATCCATCAAATTGTAGCTGTCTACTGGCGTCCCTGAAAGTCGGCATATGAAATCATTCCTGTCAATTGAAAGTGTCTAGCACACTCCACTTATACCTTTTTGCTGTTAGCTTCTTCAAAACAGATTCCAGATGATTTACAAGAGTCACATCGGTCGGAAAATTTTTGCAAGTTTGTACCGATGGACTTAATCAAACTAATCAGATGTCTCGAACTGGGCAACAATTCAAACAGTCGGTAAATTAAACCTTATTCCAAATAAAAGTTTGTCATGTTATCAAAAGCAATAAGCATTTAAATTTATACAGAGCAGACTGACTGAGTTTTTACTTTTACAATTTTTCCGCACTGGTCTGTATGTTTCACCCTCAGTAGAAAAACTGTTTGTTTGTGATACACTTTGATAACCCCTCAGTATCAGTAGCTGAAGAGAAAATGATGGGACTTGAAGACTTAGTAGCTTTGTTAACAACATGACCATGAATATCGCATTGGCATTGAAAGCGTCTGGTGCATTGCAACACATATTTTGCTACCTTTAGTTTCTCCAAAAAGGGTCTCAAAAGAGCCACCAGAGTCATACAAATTGAGGCAAGTTTATAGGTGGAAGTTAATCCAACCGACTAGATAAAAAGAGAGATTTATTTCTTCCGACACTTGTTTGCTTCAATCTCGCTTAGAATAGTTTTTGTCATCAGAACTGTTAGACCACGTTGGTAATTTATTTGTGATGACTCCTCAGTAATCGTTACAATTAGCTCGCAATATGAAAACGTATGAAGCAGTTAGTTTGCCGAGCTAAAACACTGATGCTTATATTGCCGTACAGTACTCTGATTTGATTCGAGCGCACTCTGTAAAACGGTACCCCCCGCTTAGGAGAACATTAGAATACAGTTGACTTGTCTCCCACTTCAGTGCAGTTTTGGTGCCTTTAAAACATGTGCGGCATATCCCGGTTAACAAGTAGTTGAAGTTACAAAGCAATTTTAGACCACTCTAATGTCAGCCGTGTTAGCTCGAAGTACCGGTCGCTTCGCAGGCAAGCGTAGTATATTGTGGTTAGCGATTGAGCAAATGAAAACGTACGAAATTTGAAAATACACTTATGACTGGGGGAAGTAAACTCTACAGCAATCACAGCTCTGACTAGAGTTTACTCTTGTCCCACTTAAAAAAAGCTTATAGACAGGCACCAATTCACTAAGCTACACTCTATGCATGACTATTGTATAAAACCAAGTGATAATTACTAAGGCTGTTCTCCATCTTGTATAAGCATGATTTAGGGGCTAAATAGATTGTTCTCTTGGTGAAAGCCCAGTTCATACTGCCAAATTGGATCTTTTGGTGAGGCGTGATTTGCATCTTAATCAGGAATTGGATTTCTCAGCGTTGATATTTCATTCTAGCCGCCAATTCTAAACTTTGTTGAATGCTGCATTTCAATCAATGTGAAAGAAACCCGCCGATTTAGTCTCTGAAAAAAGCGAAGAGAATAAGTCTCTTTCTGTTGCTAAGTCAAACCAAGTCAATTAATCTGAACTAAGCAGCTTTTATTTATTACTTTAAACTCTTACCAAGATAATGAATATCTATCTCTCTTATTCTATCTCTCTCTCGTGTTTCAAATGTTACCCTCAAATCAGCCAATGATCCTCTGCTAAGATTAAGGATGGTATACTCGGAGGGTTCGCCCCTTCTGCTTTAAGAAAATGAACATAAAATTCAAAAGACCCAATGTACCTCGTTGATCTGTTATCTTTGTGGAGATCACGAAGGACAATTTTTTCGCATATCTAAGGGCCTCTTAAAAGATGAAATGATCTTACGTTCTTTAAATTGTTCACAAATAAGGAATCGATGAATATACAATAAAAAATATATATATGTATCACAGTAAATAGATAAAAAATAAGCAGATTGACGATTGAATGTTTGAATAAAGAAAGATATCTCGCTGAATATTTTGTCCAGCGGTAATGCTCCACACACCGTTTCAGACCCATCTCGGTCTTACTGAATAACTTAAAGCTGATTGCTCGCTTAAAACATATTATTTGCAAGAAAATGACAAAGGATACAGCAAGTTACTATGATTTGCTGCCTATGTACCCACTATAAATATCTTCCACTGCCCTTTTGGTTTCTTTAGAAGGTATTTAAGTATTCCTGCTGTGCTTGAAACATGCATGACATACATGAAGTATATAGTGGGTAAGCCTAATCTCGCTCTCTTAAAATGCATTACTTGATGAAAAATCATCTTTACACGAATGAAGGATTACTGGGCCAAGATTTCCCAACCATTTTGTTTGAAAAAACTACAGCTTCCACGTGATCGGGCGAACATGTGTGAAGTAAATCGTCCGGAAAGTGTCCAATTGTTTCAGTTAAAATTCCCGAATCCGAGAAATATCTCACCCCCTATCGACGGCTCAAAGGGGACAAAATTCAAATGTTGTTTAACAGTACAGACGCCTATTGCAATGCAGGTAAATTTTTGCCTAACTTTGGTCAGATTTTCTTACCTTTCCTACGTTGAAAGCGTCCAAACTTCAGACAGATGTTCTTTCTCTCAAAGAGAAGCAAGTCATTAGACTTTTATCACGCAGCGCCATCTTGGATTGCGTGACGCATTAAGTCGAGGCTGGATTAGTCACTACGGCTGGGGGAGTCATAGATTCTGTCGCGTGGCCGAAATTTCTTAAAATATTTCATATTTTGATTCAACTTTCGTCGAGAAATGGCTTGAGAACGATGGAAAGGTCCTAAAGAAAGTCGTAACTCGTGGTTACAGCAATTTCTGCGAAGGCTATATATCTTTGATATCGAAGGTAAGTTTTAGTTTTGACGAGTTGTTATTGATGATGCCTCGAGTCTAGGTGAAGGTGGTGAGTGTACTCGAACAGTTGCGTGATTCACGCCACTCATACTATTTTAAAGATCTTATATTGTTCTTATCCTTTGATTATGCCCGAATTTACTTTTCAAAATCTCCGACGATTTACAAAAATGATGAAATGAAGCCCTAGAAACCACGACTCGTAGCGTGTTCACGTTTTCACACATATGAATTCCCATGAAGAGCCATGGAGGTTGCAGGTATTTATTTGACCATGTAGTTTTGTTTGAACTGAAAGAAGTCTTAAACTTCGCTTACGTACTAAGGTATATTCAACAAACCCTTTTAAAATTTTTCCATAGGTTGAAATCTGAAGGGCTTGTGAAGTACAAATATCAAACACCTCTTGCAACTGTGAGGCAGGATCAGGAATATGCAACCATGCAATAGAGTTGGTTTATCTCCTTGAGCACTATCGAAAATTGGGTTTACGAAGTGTACCTCTGCTATGTCCAAGACAAGTTTGCCTCAAAGAATGGCCGGGATAAATTCTCGGGAATTGCAGGAGGTGCTGGTATTGCAGGTGAAACTACCAGCCAAAGGTGGGGAAGTGAAAAAAAAAAACAACAACGCAGGGTAGATGGATCAATCCCTGGGGGCTGCTGGAAATCAAGTGCCCCCCTCAGTGATCCAGTCTCAGAGCTGAAATATCTTTAATGTGGAAATGGACTCTATAAACTCAAACTCTGTGAGTTTGTGTCAGCAGTGAGCTAAGCCATAGTCTATAGTGGGCTTAAGTAAGTTTATTGAGGATAATTACTGTACTGTCTTTTGGAGTCACTCATAAGTAAGAATATTATTATGTCATTTAATTAAGTAGTTGAGTTTATAGGAGTTTATACCTCCCTGGACATGGAGGTATTACCATTTTCTGGATCACACAGATTTACAAAAAGAAACTTTCCTTACTGAAATTCAATTGTATTTGTTTTGGTTTATTAAGCACACATTGCAAAGAACCTGCTTAACTTAGTTGAGGTGTAACAAATTTTATTATAGAACCAAGGTTTTCTAAACAAAATTAATAGGAAATTAAAGTTTCAATATAATGGCCCTCTAAAATTAGTCAGAAGGCAGCATATAGTCCAAATTTGGTTTACTGAACCAGCCAGTGAAAGAGGTAAAACTTGTTCAAAAATTTGTTACTCTTTTATTTGCCCGATTTCCCTCTCAGCATGGATATGGAGGTGGGCAATCTGTTGGGTATCAGTCACTTCAGTCTCTAGTGCTGAACTGTAAGGACTTTGCTCTTAACAAGAATGGTGGGATTGTCAAGTTAGCTTTTTTAGTTTCCAATAAATCCTGTATTAAGAAACCCTTATCTGCCATTACCTTGTCTCCATCTGTGACAAGCAACAGAAATCCACTGTGCCTTGTCATTTCTTTGTCTGATATACTTCCCTGATATGAGGAACTAACAAATGTTACTGTGCCACGAGGAGCTATACCAGTTAAGTATTTGAATGTGGTATATGACTTGTATGTGTATAGAAAATTTCTGAATTCAAGACCTTGGAGCTAGACCTCTGGACTTTGATCTCAGTGCAGTCTAGGATTATCCTTGTTTTAGGGTATGTGGCTTTGAAGCACTGAGGCATACTCCTTTTAATCTGAGCAGTTGTGGGCCAAATTGGCACTTGGCCAAGCATTGAAACAGAAAATTTGCCCAAGTTATAATAATACTGCTGACAGTGCTTGTGTTAATATTGAATCTCACTCCTAAGTTTGTCTCCCGCAAGCCTCATCTCAGTCTGACAGTGCAAAATTATCAGTGCCACGCCTTCGCTGGTAGTTTTCTTCACCTCTGCCACGTTGAATCTGGGTTTTATCATGGTTTTAGCATATGGCTCAACCCATTTGCAAAAGCTATCAAATCGTTCTTTCGTTGCAAAGCCTGTGTATAATGCAAGCAACTCCGGATCCTTTGAAATGTTTTCAACACCAAATTTTGACTCTTAAAAATCTTTGACTTGTTAATCTAGATCTTTGATTCTGGCCATAAGTATTACAATTTGTTCCTCAGGGCTTATTTCGGCCGGCTGAATGTTTTCGTTTTCCGGTTCGTCCGTGGCCATTCCTTGCATTGGCTCAGCACCAGCTCAAGTTTCCTGCCCTGCTGACACAGCCTCCTCTTCTTCCATCTCGACATCTTGCTGGAGTGAACCGACCAAGAATTGACGTCGCTCCTATTGTGCTTGCTGGTCCGCAATATTTTTCAATTCTTGCAATTTGTTTTTTCGGCACTCTTTTCCCTCCTTAGTCCATGCAAACTGCGGTTGGCACAACTCCAGGTTTTAGCCGTGTAACCGTAACCCAAGTTATAGTCCCATACATATCCTCTGGCTTGAAGTGAGCCGTGCACACCAGAGTAGAGCCTTTCTTTATCTGGAAAATTTGTTTAAAAGCGTAAGTTATAACGAGAATAAACTAGGGAGGATCTCATTTCTTACATATGACAAAATCCGAGCTAATAAAAACAAACAAAACATAATCATGTGCGTTTGACAGCTTGAGCCAAAAGTAAAATGAAAAACTTAATGTAAAAAGAATAGTAGATTCATTAATCGAATTTAGTGTTATGAATATCAAATGAATAAATATTTTATAGATAAAAAAAACTGCTGGCTGAGTCTTCAATCGAAAGGAAAAGTCGATCGCCAATAACACGTGCATCTGACAGCTAACCGGTCACGACGCGACTCTCACCTCAAAGCGGCAATCTATTTCGATCTCAATATAACGTTCGAAGGAAAGTTGAAAAAAGATAAATTCTCACCACTTTTATTTCGTTTGTCGTTACTACAGAAATTAACGCAACAATGATCGTGGGCCATCTCCACTCAAAACACTGTAATGTTACACAACGCTAAACCTTAATGCGGGAGTTACTACATCACGGGCGACGCGCGGGGAAGGAAGAAAAGATCGAAATACGATTATATAATAAGCTCAGTTATGCACGCATTCTGATTGGTTCTCACTTATGATCTATTGGAGGACAGACGTATAGATGACGTCATCATTAAAACTTTTTTAATTCTTTATTATATAAAACAAATAGAATCCAAGTTGCCGTGCGTCTGTTCAGTAATAGATCACAGAGGACGTCAAAATGTGGTAAGAACATCAGTGACACACTCGGCTGCGCCTCGTGTGCCACTTTTTTGTTCTTACCACATTTTGACGTCCTCTGTGATCTATTACTGAACAGACGCACGGCAACTTGGAATCTATTTGTTAAGTGTTCAGCGGGTAAACAAATTTAATACCTCATATAGATACATATCAGTTGTAGTTGCAGAAAACAGTAATGGCGCCGATGCCAGGCTTGATTACACTGTGCACACCAACGCATAGTGGATTCACAAACCAAGTGCCACCTTTGAAGTTTGGTCTGAAAAGGGTTATGGATGTTTACACCTTGGGTCTAAAAATGGTGTTCTCTGGTCAAAAATAATGCTAAGATTTGGAGAGCTGGGTGCGCACCCTCGTCAAAAATTACAGGGAAAGCACACCCCTGGGGGGCATCTCTCTCGCGTTTTTTAGCTCGTTACACGAACTCAAAATGTCTCTTTCCGTTCTTTTGTTTGCAATATACTGAGAATAATCCCAAAGAAATTGGTTGGGTGAAAAATCATAAATTTTAACTAACGAATTTGGAAGAAGTGGACCGTAATATGGTACTGAAATTCAGAAAATGATCGAAACGAGTGATATTTATAGAAAATTCTGGGTTGTTCATAACGACTATTTTAGCTTCAAGGAATGTTTATCGGTCGTACAAATCTGTTTCAAAAATACCTCACAATGACCGATTTGGACTCCAGTCATTCTTATTTATGTTATTAATTAAAGATCGTGTTAAGCGTTTTGTTTTAAGGTAAAAATATATATATATATAATTATGTCTAAGATAATATTTGCATGAGCGTTACGTGATAAGAAGTGTTTTGTTAATCAAACTAGTCAGATTTCTCGAACTGCGCAACAACTCAGACGTTTGTCGTGTACTTAAAAGCAAAAAGCTCATTCTGTGATATATAAAGCGGTTTATTGGCATATTTTTTCCTTCTACAAAATTTTTTATTAATTGAAGCTTAATGTTTTTATCAATTAATTCGTCCGCACCAATCAATTTCGTCATCTGCAAAAAGTACAACGACTGAACGATGAAATGAAAATTTCAAACTCTTAAATCTGCTGCTTTCATAGCCCCACAGCTCGTGTAAACATTTCCCTTCATGAAAAGGGGACAGGAAAAGGAAGCTAAATATCCAAAGGAAAAATACCAGGGGTTTTCATATCATGAATGCAGCACTACAAAATTTAAAATATGCTGCACGAGAAGAACGGGATGATTATTCATCGCAGTAGCGCATTAAGTTCCCTTCGGTAAGATTGTATTACCACATAATAACTATGCAAAGGAATTTCAAACATTTTTCTTTTGATTATCCATAAAATTTTAGTAGTCCACGAACACGAAGCCACGTTTTGCTGCGACCAAAAGAAGTGTTGCGCTCACATTTTTCCACACTGGATATTTCCAATCTCGCTCAGAATCACTTCTGTCATCAAAAGTTTTAGTTTGTGTTACATTTTTAATCACTCTTCAGGGCTTGTTACAATCAGTCAGAGTCACGAAAGCATACATCCGCGTGATTTTTTTCCTAGTTAGAGCATTTTTATATTGCCAGTTCAATAATCTTTCCCTAATAGTATCATAGTGCCACTCAAAACACACTCATATTCACTCAAAGTAAACTCGATTGATAACAATTCTGACCTTGGAACAATTGCATGTTTCACACTTAACTGCACTTTAATATCTTTTTAAACAGTTGTAGTATATTCTAGTGAACAAATGACTAGGGTAACCACGAAATTAAAAGATATATATTTACTTACGTTCACTTTAAAACACTCGATCTGTCGCGTTTCAAACAAAGTTCACTTGTCTTACGCTTAAGGGAAGCTGGTAACCGTTTGAACATGTAAGCGCAGTATATAATATATAGATTTAGCCAAGCCTAAAAGCGGAGCTCGTATTTTTTTTCCCGCACGTCTCAAGGGCAGAACGCCTTGCCCCTGCCAGGACTAGATCCCAGGTCGTCCGACACGGAGCCCAGTGCACTGAAAACTGGACTACTGGACAAAGCTGTGGCGTTGGCGTGCCCGCGGTACAGTTGACCACGCATGTTAAAAGTAGCATCTTGTACGGTCATACGGTCGTATGGTTGTACGGTCGTAGGGTCCTAGGGTCGAACGGTCGTACATCCAAATTTTTTCGGCTTGATGGGTTACTACTATTTTGTATAATTATGGGGCTACGCTCTGCCCTAACCCTAAGCTCCGCTATTATTCTAGGAATACATGATCACATGAGACTTTAGTTAGCGGAAAAAACTTAATGCAGTATATAATTAATTCTCAAAAAGCGTGGTGTATACTGCTCAACGAGTACAGGAAAAAGATAAGAAATCTCAAAACACACCTATCTACACTCAGAGTAAACTTTAGCATTCACAGTTCTTACCAAGGTTCATTTGTGTCACACTTTTAGATGCTAATGCTTAAAGTACTCTAATCGTTTCTCAGGTGGTGTTTCATCGTATGTGATAGCAGTGTCAAGACTGAAGAGGTTATTCTTCTCTCCAAAGCCCATTTGAAACTGCCAAACGTACAGCTTGGTATTCGGTGGGATTTTCACCTTAACGGTTTCTTCTATTTCAGTTGTGTCACTCCACTTGAACTGCTCTGTGTTGACCATCTTTCCACCAAACGTCTCCCTGAGGCCATACTGAACTTTACAGAGACACTCAATCAATTTAGAAACTTGGGCTTTAATCTCCTTTTCTTCGCTTATTGTCGTCTCGATGGACCATTCAGACTCTATGGAGGACATTGTGCTCCTGTCAAATCCAACGGTTTTCTTGATGGTTTTTTCCCATTCAATAGCAGTGTCGGAGTCGTTTCGAAGACATTTTACTTCTTTCCAACACCCGAACACTTTTCCATAGGTTTGCGCCATACCACCAGGGAGGAACTTGAGCACTGACTCGTGCACGCTGAAGTCTTTGCAATCTTTGTTCAAGTTCATGTTGGTGCTTCTGTGATAGGTGACACCCCATTTTCCAGCCTGCTCCAGACAGTAGACGTAATTCTTGGTACCCCAGAAATAGATGCCATCTTGGAACGCTTGGTGGATTTTATATTCAACGGCGTCTTCATCTTTGTTCATGTTACTCACTCGTCTGTAGGTGCCTCTCTTGGCAAACACGATGTACCAATTACCAAAGGCAGAGTAGTAGCCGCTTCCTCCGCGACAGTTGCAATGAAGAGGGTAAACCACAGCGTCATCGTCTTTACTCAGGTCGGTAACTCTGCGATACTCATCTCCTTTAATGATGTAGAAATAAGAGTTAGTGGCCAAGTAATGATCGCCCCATCTACAGGCCTCACTTAAACGGTGAATCTTGATACGTTTTCCAGTGTGAATATCTTCGCAACTCATGTAGACACCCACATCGGAACGGATGATGTAGAAGGTTTTTTTAGTACCACAAAAGTCTATTCCTCTGGCCTCAGGTGCACTCTTTGGCA